TGATTTTAATGTTGGTCCAAACTAGATTAAACATGTCTTCGAAGGAGTATAGCTTGTATGATACATATTATAAATGATATTCTCGTGATAATACTCGACTTTAGTATAGTATATACTATCTAAAGATATATCACGCCTTGAGTTTTTTTTGTTTTTACATACGGTATACTATGGTTGCCTGTCAAAGGCGGATAAAATGTTTCTAAATTTTTATAAAATAGTGTAAGCCTCATAGTTCTATGTAGAGTTTATAAATCATTTGTTATCCCCTACAAAATTTTTTTTTAAATCATTTACAAGTAACAATGACTCATACGATAACACTGGAAATGGGAAGTTTACCATAAAGTAAATTGACTTTGAATATCAATTGATTCGGTTGCATCGGTACATATATTAGTGCAGGCCTCATCCGGTAACTTGATCTGAACGGGATAAGCCCATCATTGGTATATGTAAACCAGAAGTTTACAAGATTTGATAACTTGGTAATTTGGTTGGTCTGGTTAGACCATCCCGGATCATGATGTGAAAGAAAAATATTATTCCAGAATTTATGATAACATCATATGAGAAGTCAAAGAATTCTTCAAGAGTTATTATGTCATGCTTGTTCTCAAGAAAAATAGAACAATTGATCATCGCTTGTAAAAGAGTTGGCAATTCTCTTAAGATTTTATGGACGTGTATGCAGAACGATATATAAGTCATGTGGATCATTTGTGAATTTTATGGGTTGATGCATCAAATGGATGATCACATGTATTTTATCTGACCGCAACCCGATGTCTACGAGATTAGTTGCCTCACTATGGATACATTTAGATGGTTACCCAATCAAACATAAGTTTGCTTATGAGAACAAGCTAAGCCTTCCGGTCTCTTATCGAGGACATGCTAGCTAGCAAGTGATAGTATTGGTTCGCATCTAACTAGCAAGTTATCATAAGTTTCCCCCTTTTACAAATGGTTTTGGTCGGAAATCTAACATTTCCCATATGAGAATATCAGGGGTGTGTCGCATACATCCCAATTGCTCCACCACAGTATCTTAAGTTGATTCTCATTGGAGATTGAGAATTTGTGTTGGGTATGAATCCCAAATGGAAAACAAATTGCGAAATTATTGTTTTAATCGATTACTTTTCCAACATTAAGGGGGAGAGTTAAAATTGCTAGACAAAGAGATGAGTTGGAATGAGTTATCATTATCTAGTTCTGATCCTCAATATAAGAAACATGAATCTGAAGTTCATAAGATGAATTATCATTACCAACTATCAAATGCCTTTACTGACTATACGAAGTGACCAAGTCACATATACTAGCTGTGAATGCTCCAACTAAATTTGATATCCTTGTTGGATACTCTAATATAAAAAAATGTGTCTAAAAGAGCGCATGAAACGTGATAGACCAATCAGTTCCAATGATAAACATCCTCGAGAAAGAAAAGCAGTTGTAATTAGAATGGTCAACTCGATGACATGAAAACTCAAGAAGAGTAACCAAGAAAAACACATGTGTCTGAAAAGTGTGAAAGCGATGAGATCACAAAACATATTCGACTACAATATTGGAACTGTAATGAAGTCATTGTTGACGAAATTTGAATATGATATATACAAGTGAGGATCAAGAGTAAAACTCTACTGCTTCATGCAAATGATGATGTTATTGGCCAATATAGAAAGAAATCATGAAACTTACTCGTGGAGCATAGTGTTCAAGTGCCATAAGTCCTTATACCTGAAAAGGATAAAAATAGCGGGATACAAACAAATCTTTGTGCTATTGGAAAGTACGAAATTGTGATAGATATAACACAATATTTTGCAATGGGTTTCTCGAAGAGACCTATCATTGTTTGAGAGGAGTTATGCTCCCCTATGATGGATGGAACTAATTTTTCAAAATAATGTTTAAATCTATGTTTGAAAATTGTTGTGATAGCCTATTTGTTTGAATTCCCTGAAGATGTTATATCTATTTGAAACTCCCAGAAGGATTAATTTACCTGAAGTAAACAAGCAAAGTTCTCAAGAACATATATCAATAGACTAAGAATATCCCCTGTATGGGTTGAGACAATATAGACGAATGTGAAATACTCGTCTAAGTGAACACCTACAACAGTAGGATGAATGAATCTTAAAAGGTTAAATTCAAATAGAGTGTATTAGAGCATTTGCATTGTGCATATATAGTTGTGTTGTCTGTATGTGCTTTAAGGATTTTAAATTCTTGGTTTATGTGTTGTGTTGTGTTTTATTTTAAAGTATGATTTGTGTTTTATGAGTGTTCTTTGCCAAGTTCATATTGTTTCTATGATGTGAGTTTTGTTATTATCTTTCGTGATATGAAAGAATTGCTTGCATCAATTCTTTGTGACGATCTCATATTATGTTGATGATATGAATATTACTGGAGCTCCTGAAGAGCTTCCCAAAGCAGTTATTGCTTAGAGACATAAGTTAAATTGAAAGATTTAATATCGTTTTATGGGCAAGGAAGGTAATGTTGAAAAAGTGGAAAAGTAATTTTGCATGAACAAATTATGTTCATCAAACAACATTAGGATCCTAAGATCACTAGAAGTGACCAAAGATCCATTTAGGCATCAAGAAAGAAGTGAAACATTAAGTTCTGAAGTAATTTTTTTATGATAGTGCTACTACCTGAGTAATTTTTCTTTTATGATGGTGCAACAGGCACAAACTTTATTTTACAAAAGTAACATATACAATAAGGTAATAGATAATATGAATAAAATTGAAATCCAAAATATTCATAGAAAATAGACATACTATGTACATGGATGGCCTACTATGAGAAATAAGTAGCCTCCATTGTAATATTTTGGATGGCTACAATAAAATCTTGATCATATTGTAAATCTTACCTCAATGCATTAGATTATGTCGAGAGTCTTCGACCAATGATAATTTGGCAGAGTTTCGTGCTGATAACGTGTTATTAAACTAATAAAAAATATAAACAACCACAAGAGAAAATTAGAGAAAGGCACAAAAGAAGAGAGGTGAAGAGAACTTTCTTATTCATTCTTCACTTTTGATACAATGGTGTGCTCTATTTATAGGCACACCTTGGTAAACAACACATCCTTATATGAATGCGAGATAATGAAACATTAAAGAGCTATCAAATGTAGGAATAGGGGTTACAAGTAACTCCCAAGTAAGCATCTACAGTGATAATGGCAATGGTCATCGATATATCCATATTTTCATAATATTACATGATTTTTTTACTGAATAATTTTACTCGACTTATTTTATTGAATAATATTTACTCAAATTTTTATAGTCAATATATTTCACAAGAATATATTTACTAACATTTATACCAAAAAATTTAGTAACTAATATGTACGGTAATTTTATTTAGTGGATAATAGTGGGACTTTCGAAACCTTCTCGTAGGATATGAGTTTAGCGTTCTCGGTTTTACGGATTCTGGGTTTAGGATTTTGTGGTACTAAAGGGTTAAGGGTCCTCAGGGTTCATAGTCAGGGTCAAGTTTCAAGGAGCTAGGCGTAAGTCGGTCGTTGTGGCCTTGCCTATCGTCTGACTCACTTAAGCATCGTTTAAGCGTGGGAAGCAAAAAATAGCATTTTTGTACTAGATGATAGATGAAATTTTTATTACAACACTTCTACTTTAATTCACAATTTGGATATACAAATTGTAAAGGAACTTTCTAGTTGATTCATTTTTTTACGATGACGGCTTATTACAAGAATGCACAATGATAAAGTTGAACGTTTGAATCATTCTTCATTATCTTTAGCTCGAGAGCCAGACAAACGAGTCTTGCACTATACAAGCTATTGTATAAATGGATTAATATTTAAAATTAGAGAATGCGAGACAACCAAAAGCAGCTAGAACAGTGGTGTCTTGGTGGGGCGGAGGGGGGGGGGGGATGATGGTGCAATTCCTTGCCATGCGTTCTCACAGATGTCATTGAGTTTCGTTATACATGAGGGTTTCTAGTTGCACTATTTCAATGTGAGTGGTATGACACAGCTCGAGGTATTGGTTACAAGAATGATGGTCACGATATTGTATCTATTAACACAACACGAAAGTTTTGAACTGATGATCCCTTCATTTCAGCTAGTCAAGCAATTCGAGTTTATTATGTGCAAGATGAATTTTTGTTACAAATAATCTTCCTCTCGTCACAAACAGCTAACAATTATAACGCAATACGTACTTGTCACAAATGCAATTTTATGGGAAGAAATATCACTGATGACTATATAAATATCGTTGGTAATACCAAATATTTCCGACACATTAATGCTTCATCAATAATATAAACATTTTATGAAAACATTTTACCGACGACAATATGAAAAGGTCATGATAGATTCTTTACCGGACCCCCTTGCTTCAAATCCTGGCTACGTCACTGGTTGGACCCTAAGCAAATTATCTACTGGACCGATAACTTTGTTCACCCGATTTTGTCTTCGAGTCTGTAGCCGTTTTCAGATTTGGTTTAGGCTGTTGGGCCGCGTTTAGGTCCAATTTTTCTTGTGCCCAATAGGTGGCTCCTCTACTTGCAGGGATAACTCACTTCCTCCCGAGTGAATCTAGATTCTTGAACATATTTTGATCTTATAATAACCGGCGAGTTGTATCATTGTTAGAGTAGAGTTGGAATCAGAAGTTTACGAGGGCGAAAAACAAAAAAAAAACATTATATCAAGTTATGGTGTCGAAAGAAAACAAAAAATGGTCCCAGGGTAATGAAAACAATGCAGGCCTTAAAAGTTCCGCCACCTCATTTCCTTTTCATTTCACATCAATCTATGTTCATTGGTCTACGTTGGAGAAATCTAACTTTCTTACACATTTTCTATAGCAGGGAATGGAGTCGGCCGTTACCCACATACACACAGTTTGACCTGTAACTAAACTGTTTCCTCTCCCAGTCCAGCTATAAATACATCCGCATCTCTCTACATTCCTTCATCCTGCCTTCCTTCTACATCTTCAACACAGCTTCCATTCCTAAGTAACGAGAAACTACAAATATGGTTGCTGCCTTGTTAAAGATGGTCACTTTGTTCGCTCTGTCTTCCCTTCTGATCCTTAACGGAGCCATCGGCGATCTGATATGCGAGGAGTTGCCAGTAGAGCTGTGCGCCTACTCGATCTCGGACACAGGGAAAAGATGCGTGCTGGAGAACTACTTGGCCAGGAAGGGGATGGTGAAGTACCAATGCAAGACATCGGAAGTGGTGATGGAGACGATGAGCGGATGGATCGAGGCAGAGGCATGCATCAACGACTGCGGCCTTGACAGAAACGTCGTCGGGATCTCTTCTGATTACCTCCTCTCCCCCAACTTCGTTGCCAAGCTCTGCTCCCAACCCTGTTTCAGCTATTGCCCCAACATCCTCGATCTCTACTCCAACTTGGCTCAAGCTGAAGGTAACATATTAATTATATGCATAATTACTTACCTACACAGCAAGTCCCTGCTATGTTCTAAACCAGACGCTGAAAATATTACGACTTAATTATATTTGTTGGTGTGACTGCTGCAGGAATGAACTTGCGTGATATCTGCATCAGGGGAAATGCTGTTTCTCGTCGCGCATTGTACATTCTGCCCAAGAGTTCAGGCGGTGTTGATGGTGGTGCTGCAGGAACTGCTGGGGAAGGAAATGGAGCAATTGGAGCCCCAGTCGGTTCTCCTCTGTCTTCCCCTGCTTTTCCTTTTGCGGATGATGGTTCTACTACTGCATTTGCTTCTTCGCCTGACAACTTTTGAGGGATGGTTGAATTTACGGACTCTATTTCAGTATCATTTCTAATGTACAGATGTATCTTTTTGGAACAACTTTGGGTTTTACACTTCGATTGTTATCTCATTTGAGTTACACTTGTTCAATCATTTCAGAATTATTCTATGCTTGTTATGTGATGATTATGCTGATCTTTATTGATAATTCGAGTTTTGCCTTAGTAAATTGGTTCAATTCTTCTTGCACAACAAGATGTTAATTTTGATCGAAAGAGCCTATATACCAAAAAAAAATAAATAAAACAAAACAAAAGGTAAATTGTGTGCAAGAAGAGCCAACACTGCTTTAGCCTGTGCTCAAGTTTGTAATGGAGCATTTGGATCACCAATGACTAGTTCCTTCGATTGATGGATCATTCAAGACATCGTCAGTTCGCTCATCCTCATGAATTCTCATAGAAGATGGTTCACTTGAAAGAAGTAATACATCATCTGCCTCATTTTCGTCCTGTGCACTATCATTAACTCTCGATGCAAGCCTCAATTTCATTGAATACTACATGGATAGATTCCTCTACCTTAAAGGAAAGTTTATATCCAACACTCTATACGCTTTATATTCGAGTATTCAAGAAAAATGCATTCAACATATTTGACTCAAGCTTCCATCGGCTCTCCTTTGTATTCAAATAGTAGCATATCTACTTAAGGAATTGAAATAACTGAGATATGGTTTCTTGTTTTTATCAAATCATTGAGAGTTTTGTTAAGCTTAGCTAGCTCTAACTAGAACATGATTAACCATGTAAGGTGCGGTGTTTACAGCCTCAGTCCGTATATATGCTGCTAGGTTACACTCTTGTAGCATGATTTTACCTATTTCTAAATGGTACCCATAATAAAGGATAATTAGGGTAATTAGGGATTAACCAAATTACTAAATGGTACCCATAATAAAGGATAACAAAAAAAAAAAACACCAACACTCCCCCTCAAGCTGAGGCATGAAGGCCACTGATGCTCTAAAACACAACACCTAACAATGGCCAAGTGTAACCAATGAAAGGGACTGCAGTATAGTGGCACAAGTAATAAATATCGAATCCACGGGTCTCTAGAGTTACTATTACTCAGCTTCAGTTCATTATCTAGCAAACTAGATTAATGATAGATTAACTAAACTACTCTACTAACTAAACTAAGTAAAACTACTAATTACAGTTTGGGAACTCACTTAGGTATGATTCCCCCTAGCTCCTCAATTAGGTCCAAGTTGTAATTCATTTTGGTTGATTTACTGTTGATTAAACTGCGGAAGATCCGACAGTAGCTTGGAATCTCTTAAGCTGACCAAGCCCTCTCAGTCTAACTATCCGGCAGACGACTAGTCTTCACCGGGATAGAAAGCTGAAGCAATAAGCACAAAACTCCACTACTGGAATTGGATTCCAGTACAAAGCAGTAAACTGGCTAACTCTCGTATAGCCAATCTCCTACTACCGAATGATGAGACTCTAGCAACCTAATCAGATTCTATCTATCTCAGATTGCAGCAGGAATCAGGAAAAGTTGATCAGACTTCAATTGACTCAATAAACATGCATCATTCGATTATAATCAAACAATATAGCATCCAAAACTTCATACAAGAAAGATCCTAACTCATGGAACTAAGGTTCCTCAAAACCTAAGTGAAGGGAAGTTACTCCATAGAGAAGAGAGAGACTGCAGAAATCTGATCTAGATCTTCAATCTCCATCTCCAAGCTTGATTCCCGAGCTCCAATGGCGAAGAAATCCTCCAAAATAGCTCCAAGAATGTTCCCAAGTCGCTCTCTCTCTCTAGGGTTCGTCCCTTGGGTGTTTGGGATCCAAAAACCCAGCTCCCCCCCTCTTTGGTTCGGAATTTGGCTTAAAACCAGATTTCCCGACTCGCACGGCCAGGGTGCACGGCCGTGCATATCACCATTCTGGCCGTGCAACTCAAAACGCAGCGTGTCATTTAGTCGAACTTCAGCCCTCTCGCACGGCCAGGGTGCACGGCCGTGCGAGCTTCAGGGGTTGCCCGTGCGTGTCCTCGGCATAAAGCGCACGGCCATATTGCTCACGTGCACGGCCGTGCAGCCTCCCTGGTCTGCCCGTGCAGCTCCCCAAAAACCTCGCCATTCGTCCGTTCTTCGTCCAATCGACCCCAGACTCGCTCCTAAGCCTTCATTCACGTACTAGGACCTGAAACATCACAAACAAGCACAACCTAGCGTGAAATCGGCCTAAAACACGAGAATCAACACCTCAAACGGTGTAAGAATGGGGGTAAAAACATGTGTAAATGACGGTCTATCAGCCACAAATGCCCAGTTTGGATAAAAGAGAATGAAACTGATCAGCGCACAATGCCTTGGTGAGAATTTACGCAAACTGTGAGGAAGAAGAAATCTTCAAGGGATCAACTTCGCATCCAACAACACGTTCATGCACAAAATGGCAATCCATCTCCACATGCTAAGTGCGTTCATGAAAGACGAGATTGGCTGCAATGTGAAGGGCAACCTGGTTGTTGCAGTATAACGGAGTAGGGGCTGTTTGAGGAACGCCCAATTCGATGAGGAGAAAACGAAGCCAAACAACCTCACTAACAACGCTGGTCATGACGCGATACTCGGCTTCAGCAGAGGAGTGGACAACCACACGCTGCTTCTTCGTACGCCACGAAACATGAGCTGACCCCAGCTGAACGAAGTAACCAGTAGTGGAGCGGCGCTACAAAAAGACGGTAATTAGTGACCAGAGGCTTTCGTCAGTAAAGGCCAAATCTCGTCGCAAAAGCACATTTGCAACACCTTGAAGCCATCGCGTTCCATTTCAAATACGAGCGTCACAAATAATTTCTATGCGATGAGCCGCCCGAAATGCTATTTTGTGACGGCTATGAGTAATCTCTAATGCATTTCCAAATTGACAAACTTGACAACTTCTCTTTGTGATGGTAAAGAATCGTCGCGATAATTAATAATCTTGTAGGTAATACATTTTATCATTTACGAAGCTCACAAGTTTTTGTTTTTCTAATGATACATAGTCGTCTCTATAAATAATTTGGTCATCACTAATGCATTTTCACATTGACGAAGTTGACGATATTATCTTTTTTCAAATGATGAATAGTTGTCTCTATAAGTTATAAGGTCATCAAAAATTCATTTTCAAAAAAGAACAATATTTTTACATTGATAAAAGGTAAAAAGAAAAAAATTAAAGAACACCACCGCCAGACACTACAGGAGTTCCCACAACCCTTGAGGGCGACAATTGCATTTTTGCCTCTCGAAAGATCTACATCACCGCTTCATCTGGCTTTAGAAGCTCTTTCCATTCCTTGAGTAACCACTGGGCAGTGACCACTGGAAGATCGCCATCATCCCTTGATCTGCGTCGGAAAGATCTTCATCTGGCTAGGCTTAACGTTACAAGTCGCCGTAGATCATCTGACACAACTCCTTCAATCATCATGACCTCCCTTTACCACTGCGGTTAACATATACAAACAGTGGCGGACCCAGGATTGTCGGAGAGGTGTGTCGCCGATAAAATAAAATAATAATTAAATTTAAAATTAATTTAAAATTAAAAGAAATTAATTCATAAAGTTCATAATGTCATGTTTACAACGAACCGCGACGACTTTTCATCTGCTGAAATGTCTCTAAAATACATTCATCACTTATACTGCAAAACAAATCTTTTTCAATATACACCACTAAACAATCATTCATAAATTGGTCACTCAACCGATTTCGAAGATCGTTCTTGATTATCTTCATAGCTGAAAATGCTCTTTCGCAGCTTGCAGTTGCCACAGGTAAGGTCAACACCAACTTTAACAGCAAGTAAACTAAAGGATAAAGAGTGTCATTTCCCCTTTCCACCAATTTCCTAGCTAGCTCGTCGATTCCTCGAAATCCATCAAAGCTATTATCTTCCTTGACATGAGAAATGTAGCCCCCAATTGTTGATGAAGTCGTAAGAGCACATTGGATGGAAACTCCTCGGGATAAAACTCAGTAAGACTTATCAACTTTGCTTTATCAAAAGAAGCAAAAGAGTTAGTTGGACTAAAACAAGAAATGCAGTCCAACAATCGAGTGTTCACCTCACCAAATCGAGTATTCAATTCTTGCAGCTGCAAATCTATAACTGCATAGAATAAATCGACTTGATAGTAATGTATATTGTATGGGCGAAGAGTGTTTTTTTTAATAGGAAGGATAGGATTATGCTTTATGAGTTATTTTAAACAAAATTAAAAAGGATTATGATTAAGATTGATTCATTTGGATAATAATTTCTTCGAGTATAATAAAGGTGTGTCGGCTATAATTATTGAGGGTGTGTCGGCTATTCCGAAGTAAAAAATTTTGTACCAAAAATATGTAGGTCCTTCGTAAAATTCTCGAGCGAGGGTGTGTCGGACGACACACCCTGGCATGCCTTAGGTCCGCCACTGTATACAAACACTACAGTTACCACTCCAATGACCACCTGTTTACACCTAAAATTAATTTGGCCTGAACTAAAAGCCGCATTAATTGGTCTCAATATTTAATTCGATATTGCATGACAAAAAAAGGTGTCGTTTGGAGTCGAGCGGCATCGCAGAGAGTTAAAACGACACCGCAAGGAAGCTCAACAACACCTCGGTACTTAAAACGACATTGTTTAGGGAAAACAATGTCGGATTCACTCGGCCTGTTGGTGTTGTTATTGGAAAAGGAATATTTTTGTTTATTCCTTGTCAGAAGAGGAGAGAAAACGATGCCGCGAACCTCAAAGCTCAACGGCATCACGAGACTGGGAAACAGTGTCGTTTGGCTAAAAACGGCACCGCGAGTAAACCCAACGACACTGCGGATTAGAAAAAGATATCGCGAAAGGTCTTGGTAAGCGATGTTGTTTAGTTAAAAATTTGACCGCGTGACAATAATGAGCCGGTTTAATTAATTAATCTGTTTAATAATTATTTGGACGGTGTTGTTTGGGCTAAAAACGACACCGCGAGAGAAAACGACACCGCAAGTAAGCTCGACAACGCTGAGGTACGTGAAATATTAAATTAATGCGGTGTCGCAAGGCTAAAAATGTCGCTAGTAAACAACATCCCAGCGGAGATCGACGTCGCGGTCGCATATTTAACGGAGTTGCGAGTTCGACAACGTCGAGAAATTAAATGAGGCCGCAAGGCCA